TCAAAAAATATAGCTGCAGAATTAAAGGCAAAAATCTGGCTGTGTTATTTTACTATGTTAGAAGTGCCCCAATCTATCTTGCAGTTCTAATATGAGAAAAGGTAGCTCTAGCTCTTCTGAGTCATCTATATAATGTGTAGCATTATATGTGTATCAAAACACATTACTATCTAATATGTCAAAGAGATGACATAACAATATTTCACTTTGAATCTATAGAAAGCAAGTGCAGGGGAAAATAGCAAATATCAGTGGGGGCAAAAGAACACAAAAGGAGCCAGACAGATTAGGACAATCTTAGTGAAGGCTTTACGCTAAATCTCTTTGGAGTTAATGGCAGTCTTTCCATTGTTTTCAGAGGGTTTGGGATTATGCCTAAAAGAAGAAAAGAAGATTAACTTGTGAAACTTCATACAAGTAAGGGAAAGTTAAAGGGAAAAGCTAGCAGGAAGTTGAAACCATGAAGCAGGAATTTGGGAGACCTTCCAAAATACAAAAGAAAATGTAACTTGTATTAATGGGCCTGTATGAGGACAATCTGCTTCACAATTATTCAGCAGCAGGTACACTGGTGTCCTCTTGACTCCCACTAACTTTACTGTGGTGAAAAATGAATATCTCCCAAATGCACTGGACACATTTCATGCCTCTCCAGCCCATGTACCTGAGTGTTTGAGAAAGCATTTCTCCTTCAGAGTTTCTCACTGGCACAAGAAGCATGAAGCTGCTGTGGCTCTTACAGCTACAGTTATATTCACACTTAAGTCCAGTTGTGCGCTGACCTCTGATGAAACATACTGAGGGTTGTGTTGCATGTATTTCTGCTAGTTTGGATATGGGAGAGTTCCAGTCTTATCCATGCTCACCCATGACCCTCATTGGATAATCTGTGTAAATTTAATGTACTTCACAGAGTAGTTGTGAGAACAAGAGCAATAGATCTTATCAAATGTTAGTCTAACTTGATTCCTGTTCATTTCACTGGTTCCACTGTAAAAAGGACGGCATTGGATACAACTCAGTAAATACACACAATAAGGTTCTGCTCTAATATACTCCAGTGGTATGTAGTTACAGAAAAGGAAATCTAAACATTGCCACTGAGAAGCAACTGAGAAACAGGAAGGAGGTATCAACAAATGTACAGTGTAATACTTGGAGACAATAAAATGTGATTCACAGTAGTCTACATGTCTACACAGACTGAAGGCCCATTGAGTTCAGTTGGGCTTTCTCCCAAGTAAGTATATATAAAATTGTACCCTTAATTTAACAATAGCTGCTTTCTCTCTCTCTCTCTCTCTCTCTCTCTCTCTCTCTCTCTCTCTCTCTCTTGCATCCACAGTTGCCATTGTCTGTAGAAACTCTGAAAGGTGTATTTTGTTGAACCCTTTCCAGAACTATAGAGGCAATACCTATAACAATTAAAGAAGAAGAGAATCTTTAAATGTATTCCTTCCTCTGGGATAAGCTTTTAAAAATATATTATTCAAGTAGCATGCAAATCAGAATAAATAATTTAAATGATTTAAAAATGATTATATTTACATCTCTACTACAGTGCTAATGTTAATTTGGGAGATAATTACCTGCTTATATATACACCCCAATCATGAACCTGTAGAAGTAAAGAAATAAGCAAAACTCATTTTGATAAATAGATGCTGTGCAGTCTTGCTACTCATAGAGTGGAGAACCCAGAATGCCAATTTTTTGAAGTGATAGTTATTTGGTTTATATTGTGGGTGTTTCCCAGATAGTTAGTTCATAAATTATGTGAACAATATCCAAAGCAGTCCACTATATTATATCATATCATATCAGATTACTTGTCTTTATTTTATAGCATACCACAATTATTTTAAGAGATAATATCATTTTAAAATGTAATACAGGAATTCAAAGACACCGCTAAAATGAAAACAAAGGAAGAATCCAACGAGGAGCATGTGATAAAAGACAGTGAGGGAGGTGTGTGTGTGTGAGAGAGAGAAACTTTAAATTGTTTGTTGAAAGTCTTTGAAAATATCCAGAAGAAATAAGGCATGCAAGTTATGTTTGCTTGCTAGTGTAACTGGTTGCACAGCATTCATTCCCTGTTATGCTAACACAATTAAAATCTGATCTCTTTTGTACTGGTGAAGTGAGTTGGAGAAAATCATTGCTAAGTGAGGCACATTTGATTAAATTTCTGATTAGCTGATGTGTGGTATAGCCAAATCCATGAAGTTATAGTAAAAAACAAATTTTGGTTGATGCAAATAAACCACAACACATGCCATTTCTCAGAATCACCTCTCTCTGGAATAGGTTTGGACCCAGAAAAGTTTACTGGGTTCAAGAGATACTTCTGAAAAGTGCCTAGTAATTTCTGTCCTGTGTCTTGTGGCACATGTGTCAGGAGAAGGGGGTCTCCCACCATCTTTGGAACTGTGGAGACTTACTCTTCTTGCAAAAAGATGTTGGGTGGCATAGAGTTGTGTCCCATAATGTTTTCCCTAAGAAGATGGAACAGGACCTCTTGCTCTGCTACTGGACAAAAGCTACTAGCACTACCTGTCAGAAGACATTGCACAGCTCTTCTGTCCTCTTCTTAACAGTGTTTTGCTGGTAAGAAAACATGGAAAACATGAGAGGTTTATGAATGGAGAACATCATTTTTGGACCATCCAATCCAGTGAAAGAAGCAAGTGTAAGATGGGCATGACACTTGGGAGAAGGTGGGCAGTGACGGCATAGCTGTGCTGAGTGTTGCTATTATTTCCAGTCTTTGGGACTTCTACACCCAACCTTATACAGCATGAGTTGATAGCAATTGTGTAGAACGTGCCTCTGTTTAACTCCAGCAATTACAGGAGACAGCAAGGTGGTTGGGAGTGATTGAAAAAGCAGCAGAGTCACAATGGAATGGCAGGCAGAAGTAGAGATGTCACTCAGTGGACAATGTGAAGCCATCACATTACTTCTGCCCGGTCAGAGCAGATGGACCACAATTGATGGATCAGTTCCCAGGGGAACAGGGAAGTTCATCTTAGACATATGAGAGTAGGAGTCCTGTGAGAGGCAGGGAGAGATTGGAGAGAATTTATAGCTTTCAAGCCTGTTTTTAAAGCTAGAGTAGCATCCTGCCAAGGGCTTTCTAGAGAGCTCCGCTTCCTGCGTACAGCCTAAGTGAGGGAAGGCAAGAGGACAAAGCCACCTTTGTCCTTAGGCTATCTGAAGCTGCACAACTGGTGCCTTTGGCCGTGGCTATGGTAAAAATTCATATGCAGGCAATTATTTAGCTAGTGGTAATTTGTATTACAGTTTTGTTGTTTGTATCATCCTGCCATTTGGTAATGAGTATTGTACTTGAGTATTTGATTAGAAAGGTTAGAAGCTACAGAATGGCAATATTCTACCATTCTATTCTATTCTATCCAGCAAGATACAGATAACCAGTTTACCATGCATACTGTGATAAATAATGCTTTGGTAAGTGATGGTTTGCATTAGACATTTTTGGAGTAGCATCATATTATATTGGGTTATTAGTTATAGCTTGTAAATGCTCAGCACATTGAGAAGACGTGTCACTTCCTTCCATTGTCTCGTTTACAAGTACTATTATGTAGTGATTATAAGACAATTCACCAACACTTTAAAATAATGATTCAGCTAATTAAGGCTGAATTGCATTAAGCAAATTTTTGCACCAGCCAAATTATCATGGTTACTGTCCTCCCTCAAACAGCAAAAGAATTGGAAATGTTTATTGCATTAAAATAAAGGTGTGATAATTTGTAGGTTTTCTTCTTCAAAGAATCTCTGATGGGGGAAAATGCTTTCAGGAGCTTGTTTCATGAAGAAGAAAGTACATAGGATGCAAGGCAACTATATCATCAGTGCCTGAAAGGCTATTCAATCACAGATCTAGACAATAATCTCATGACTCTAAGGGATTATACATTAAAATCCCTGTTATTCAAAATTCAAATACATCTAGATATCCATTTTTGCTTTAAACTGCTTTCGTGAATCCCCATATTGGTTTGTGTAAACCTAGTAAACAATATTCTGGTCCTTATAGAGCTTAAATATGTAATTTTTTTCTTCATTCAGATGCATGACGTTGAACTGAAGTCTAAGTAGTGGATAAAGTCAACTGAGAACTAGGATGCTAGCATCTAAAACATCAACTATTTGTGTGCTCAAGTTGCCTGTTTTCAAGGAACAGCAACTATCTCCACATTGTGATGGATGATCACCTTCAGAGACAGGACTTTATGGTGCCAGCCAGCCAACCATCTCTTTCCTCCCTCCCTCCCTCTCTCTCTCTCTCTCTCTCTCTGCTTCCTTCCATCCTTCCTTCTACTTTTGAAAAGCTACTGAATTTTTTGGATTGCTATATTATCTGCTAGCCCTCTGAGTTCTTTTGTATCAGGCAGCAAGGGACCTGTACAAAGAATTATTTTAAGATTTCACTGCTGCTTTGCTGAAAAAGTTTCTTCACCAGAATGTTACAAAACTTGGTTAGATAAAACTTCACTAAAAGATAGCACAGGTCAAGTTGGTTCAGCATGCCAGGTAGCAGCATGGCAAGGTCCCAAGGAGAGATCATTTTGACTACTTTTAACCTAAATGGCTGTGACATTTTCAAACTATGATAGACACATCATGCAGTCAAACACACACACACACACACACCCTTCCTCAGTGTGATGGTACTGAAATGGCCAGTAATGCCAAGAGGATGTTAGCTTTGTCTCATATGCTATTTTTCATAGTTCATGAGTTTATAAAAAATCACATGACATCTTTTCTTTCATCTTCCCTATCTAGTATGATCCAGCATTCTCAAGTAGTATTTGCATGGTAGGTCATTTATGAAAACTGCCTGGAACCAGAACTGAATTCATCTGGAAACTATATATAAAATCAACATTAGTTGAACACTAGTTTAAGCTAAATATTTAAGATATTTCCTTTTCCCCTTCTCCACACCTCCATTCCATTTCCAGGATTCCACTGCCAAAGTCAAGAGAGACAATATATTTATTTCTCCATGCTAGAGCTTCTGCTGTTGTTCCCCAAAGGAGGATTTGGCCGCTGGTCTAACAATAACCTCTTGTGAGTAGTTTGAAGCAAGTAGACAAAGTAATTCTCCATTGTGGTTAGTGTAACTGTAGGACATGGGAGGGAGGATGTAGCCCACCTCAACCTTCTTTGTCCCTTTTGGTGATAGATGCTTGTAGATTTGTTGTCTCTCCATGAACTTCTTGTGCTTGAACATGAAAGAGCATATTCTTTCTGATATTCTAGCTTATGGGGATGTCAGTATCAGCAGAAATGTTGATTTTTGTTCTCTCAGTTTCTCTTTTTAACTTAATTCAATTTTTGAATCAGTTTGCAAACCTTGTATTATTTTCTTTCAAGTTCATATGAAAATCTGTGCACATTTTGTGCATTTTTATCCTCATGTAATATATTTCAGACCTTTAAATAATTAAAATATGCTTTTGGAGCACAATTTCTCCTAATATATGCATTTGTGTACACATTTTTGATCCAAGAGCAACATCACAAAATACTGAAAAATAATTTGTGTTTCAGCATGCATATTAGTAAGGGAAATACAAAGTAGATAGGATTTGTTCAGTTCCCATCTAAATGCAAACCTAGCTCCATCACCTCCTTCATGGATCACTGCCTTGCCATGGTGAAGGGGCTTGCGTAGCTCAATGAAGCTATGAGCTATGCCATGCAGAGTCACCCAAGATGGACAGGTCATAGCAGAGAGCTCTGACAAAACGTGATCCGCTGGAGAAGGAAATGGCAACCCACTCCAGTATCTTTGCCATGAAAACCCCATGGACAGTACCAAAAGGCAAAAAGATATGACGCCGGAAGATGAGCCCCTCGGGTTGGAAGGTGTCCAATATGCTACTGGGGGAGAGCAGAGGGCTAGTACTAGTAGCGCCAGAAAGAATGAAGCAACTGGGTCAAAGCCAAAAGGACACTCAGTTGCTGATGTATCTGGTGGTGAAAGGAAAGTCCGATGCTGTAAAGATCTATACTCCATAAGAAACTGGAATGTAAGATCCATGAATCAAGGCAAGCTGGATGTGGTCAAACAAGAGATGACAAGACTGAACATCGACATCTTAGGAATCAGTGAACTAAAATGGACAGGAATGGGTGAATTTAATTCAGATGATCATCAGGTATACTACTGCGAGCAAGAATCCCTCAGAAGAAATGGAGTAGCCTTCATAGTCAATAAAAGAGTAGGAAAAGCAGTACTGGGATATAATCTCCAAAATGACAGAATGATCTCAGTTCGAATCCAAGGCAAACCATTCATCATCACAGTAGTCCAAGTCTATGCCCCAACCACTGGTGCTGAAGAGGCTGAAGTTGACCAGTTCTATGAAGGCCTACAGCACCTTCTAGAATTAACTCCAAAAAATGATGTCCTTATCATCATGGAGGATTGGAATGCTAAAGTAGGAAGCCAAAAGATAACCGGAATAACAGGCAAGTTTGGCCTTGGAGTACAAAATGAAGCAGGGCACAGGCTGGTAGAATTTTGTCAAGAGAATACGATGGTCATAGCAAACACTCTTTTCCAACAACCCAAGAGACGACTCTACACATGGACATCACCTGGCGGTCAACACAGAAATCATATTGACTATGTGCTCTGCAGCCAAAGATGGAGAAGCTCTATGCAGTCAGTAAAAACTAGACCAGGAGCTGACTGTGGCTCATATCATGAGCTTCTCGTTGCAAAATTTTGGCTCAAATTGAAGAAAGTAGGGAAAAGCACTAGGCCACTCAGGTATGACCTAAATCATATCCCTGATGAATATACAGTAGAGGTGACAAATAGATTTAAGGAAGTAGATCTGATAGACAGAGTGCCTGAAGAACTATGGATGGAGGTTCGCAACATTGTACAAGAGGCAGCAACTAAAACCATCCCAAAGAAAAAGAAATGCAAGAATGGCTGACTGAGGAAGCTTTACAAATAGCTGAGGAAAGAAGGGAAGTGAAAGGCAAGGGAGAAAGAGAAAGATACAAACAATTGAATGCAGAATTCCGGAGAACAGCTAGAAGAGATAAGAATGCCTTCTTAAATGAACAGTGCAAAGAAATAGAAGAAAACAATAGAATAGAGAGGACCAGAGATCTCTTCAAGTAAATTGGAGATATGAAGGGAACATTTCATGCAAAGATGGGCATGATAAAGGACCAAAATGTCAGGGACCTAACAGAGGCAGAAGAGATTAAGAAGAGGTGCAAGATTACACAGAAGAACTATACAAGAAAGAGCTTAACGTCCCTGATAACCACAATGGGATGGTCACTGACCTCGAGCCAGACATCCTGGAATGTGAAGTCAACTAGGCCTTAGGAAGTCTGAGCAACAACAAAGCTAGTGGAGGCGACAGTATTCCAATTGAGCTATTCAAAATCCTAAAAGATGATGCAATAAAAGTGCTACACTCAATATGCCAGCAAATTTGGAAAACTCAACAGTGGCCGCCTTATTGGAAAAGGTCAGTTTACATTCTGATCCCAAAGAAGGGCAATGCCAAAGAATGTTCAAACTACCACACCATTGTACTCATTTCACATGCTAGCAAAGTTATGCTCAAACTTCTACAAGCTAGGTTCCAGCAGTATGTGGACCGAGAACTACCAGAAGTACAGGCAGGATTTCGAAGAGGGAGAGGAACTAGAGATCAAATTGCCAACATACGCTGGATCATGGAGAAAGCTAGGGAGTTCCAGAAAAACATCTTCTTCTGCTTCATTGACTACGCTAAAGCCTTTGTGTGGATCACAACAAATTGTGGCAAGTTCTTAAAGAGATGGGAGTAGCAGACCATCTTATTTGTCTCTTGAGAAACCTATGTGCGGGTCAAGAAGTAACAGTGAGAACTGGACACAGAACCACTGATTGGTTCAAAATTGAGAAAGGAGTTCGGCAAGGCTGTATACTGTCGCCCTGCCTATTTAACTTATATGCAGAGCACATCATGAGAAAGGCGAGGCTAGATGAATCACCAGTTGGAATTAAGATTGCTGGGAGAAATATCAACAACCTCAGATATGCAGATGATACTACTCTCATGGTAGAAAGTGAAGAGGAACTAAATAGCCTCTTGATGCAGGTGAAGGAGGAGAGCGCAAAAGTTGGCTTGAAACTCAATATTAAGAAAACTAAGATCATGGCATCTGGGCCTCTCACTTCCTGGCAAATAGATGGGGAAGAAATGGAGGTAGTGACAGATTTTCCTGGGCTCCAAGATCACCGCAGACAGGGACTGCAGCCAAGAAATTAAAAGATGCTTGCTCCTGGGGAGGAAAACTATGGCAAATCTAGACAGCCTACTAAAAAGCAGAGACATCACCCTGCCAACAAAAGTGCGTATAGTCAAGGCTATGGTTTTCCCAATTGCAATGTATGGCTGTGAAAGCTGGACCATAAGGATGGCTGAGCGCCAAAGGATTGAGGCCTTTGTATTGTGGTGCTGGCGGAGACTCCTGTGAGTCCCTTGGACCGCAAGGCAATCAAACTGGTCAGTCCTAGAGGAGATCAACCCTGACTGCTCTTAAGAAGGTCAGATAGTGAAGATGAAACTCAAATACTTTGGCCACCTAATGAGAAGGAAGGACTCCCTGGAGAAGAGCCTGATGCTGGGAACAATAGATGGCAAAAGAAGAAGGGGGCGGCAGAGGATGAGGTGGCTGGATGGAGTCACTGAAGCAGTTGATGTGAGTTTGGGTGGACTCCGGGAGATGGTGGAGGACAGGAAGGCCTGGAGGAATGTTGTCC